CTCCCATCTCCTCTTCCAGTGTAGGTTCACTACCCGTGTCTGGCATGCGGTGGTCGCCTGGCTCGGCATGCAGGACCACTCGCCACTGATTTGGCGCCATGAAGACACGGTTCAAGATTGGTGGCTTAAGACGATAAACTCTGGAGGGCACATCAAGAAAGCCGCTGCCTCTGTTTTGATGCTTGTCATGTGGGAAATGTGGAAAGAGCGGAACGCAAGAGTCTTTCGCAACACGGCTTCACCGACCACCATTATTGTTGCCAAGATCAAAGAGGAGGCCAATCTTTGGGCGTTGGCGGGAGCCAACCACCTGAGTGCGCTTATGTCGCGAGAGTAATCTTTCTTTCTTGCCGCTCTGCGGCTCTTGTCTAAACCTTCTCCTTAATTAATGAAAATGGCAAGCCTTTTGCCTTGTTTCAAAAAAAAAAAATATTTCCGGCCCAAAATTGTGTCTGGAATGCGTCGGCGCGGACGCGAAGCGGACGCGCCGCGCGTCTCCTCGCCGTCCGCCGCGTCGCCACCTGGAACAGGGCGTTCCCCTGGGCCGGCCCTGCGCCGACATTGATCGACCTCACCGGTCCCGACGCAGCCGCCGCCACCGACGAGGACGTTTAGGGCAGCGCGTCATCTAGTTTTTAGTGTTTTAATTAATGTAATGTGGACTTTCACCGGCCTTCGTGGCCGGCTTTTATGTTTAACTAAATGCATGTATTTATTTTCAAACAGTTCGCAATATATTTTTTTGGCGCGCCGACGAAATGGGTCGGGCCAGCGTTAGGCGTCCGCGCCGACCCAAACACAACGCCAGACGTTTGTGTCCGCCAGACCGATCTAAACGAACAAAAAACGGACAAAAACGTTGTCCGTTTAGATCGGCCCGTTGGAGTTGCTCTTACTGGAAAGTTTGACTGATTCCAGGTCTTCGATGTAGCAGCGGTCAAGCTAAGATAAGGCGTTGGAATTTCAGATGAGATGCATGTGTGTGGATGTGAGGATGCGGCAAATGTGTTTTTAAACACCTGGGCCATGAGCCAGCTGAGCATCCAACGCACACGCACCCGCACACTTCACAGCTCGCACACCGCCACCCGGCAAAACCAAAGCAGAAACGGTTCCCGTACTGTTCTGCTCCCCCGGTCGAGCAGAGGTGCGTACCCTCTCTCTCTCTCTCTCTCTCTGATTACGTATCTCTTTTGGCTTGTATCTTGCTGTCAGACTTGTGGGTGACATTTGCTAAAGTTACTCGATTGCGCTTCAAATAACTGAGCGCTAGTCCTCGATGTTAGCACACGTATTGTTCGTTCATAGCTGCTCACAGCATATGGGCGCAACGTTTGTCCGCTAGTAAACATGCAGTTCATAACTTGCCACCAAATTTATGACCAGTTTTGCAGGTGACCAGGGCCTCATGCGTTCTCCCAAGCAACCGGCGAAGCTCGTCATGCTTTTACTGTTGGCACTGCTGCTGCTCTGTAACGGAGTTGGCAACGTCCATTGCACAAGGATCCACGAGAACAGCGTCGATCTGCACGCGCTGCTAGACTTCAAGCAGGGCATCAACAATCCTCAGGAAGCCTTGAGCAATTGGAGCACCACCACCCACTTCTGTCGATGGAATGGTGTCATCTGCACCACGACACGGCCGTTTCGTGTCTTGTCGCTTATACTCACTGAATTGGACTTAGCAGGCCAAATCAGCTCCTCTCTTGGAAACTTAACCTTCCTTGAAACGCTTGACCTTTCATATAATAACTTCGTTGGTCCCTTACCTGTCCTTGGCCATCTCCAACAACTCCAGACACTTTCTCTGAACAACAACAGGTTAAATGGGATGATTCCTGATTCACTTACCAACTGTTCCAGCTTGGACACTTTAGATCTCTCTGTAAACTTCCTAGTGGGTCCAATTCCTCCGAATTTGGACTTGCTTTCAAATCTTACTTACTTAGATCTCTCTAGTAACATGCTAGTGGGTCAAATTCCTCCGAAACTAGTTTCTCTATCAAAGCTGGTCACATTAGATCTCTCCCATAACATGCTAGTTGGTCCAATTCCTCCGAATCTGGACTTGCTTTCAAATCTGACTTACTTAGATCTATCTAGAAACTTGCTAGTGGGTCAAATTCCTCTGAAAATAGTTTCTCTACCAAAGCTGGCCACATTAGATCTCTCTACTAACATGCTAGTGGGTCAAATTCCTCCGAAGTTAGGCTTTGTTTCAAGTCTAGAATACTTCAGTTTGGCATCAAACAAACTCGAGGGAAGCATTCCTAATGAGCTTGGGCAATTGCCTAGTTTACAATACTTGCTCCTGGGAGAAAATAATCTTTCAGGTGAATTCCCGCATTCCATCTTGAACAGAAACCTTTCTGTTTCTCTCCTATATCTAGGCTTGGAGCTGAATATGCTAGGCAAGGTATTGCCACCTAATATAGGTGACCTTCGGGGTCTCGTACACCTTACAATGAGTGGCAACATGTTTGAAGGGCACATCCCAGCTTCCCTAGGCAACGCCACAGGATTAAAAGTAATAGACTTATCAGCTAACAATTTCACCGGGCAAATTCCTAACTCTTTTGGAAAGCTCTCAAATCTGACTAATCTAAACCTTCAGTATAACCAGCTTGAAACAAGGGACTGGGAATTCTTCAATGCATTGACGAACTGTCGTTCTCTAAACTCACTCTCACTGGGTTTCAACCAGCTGCAGGGATCTATACCGCAGTCTGTCGGTAACCTATCCAACAAACTAGAAAAACTTACTTTGACTCAAAATAGCTTATCAGGACAAGTACCCCAGAGCATCGGCAACCTTAGTGCATTAAATCAACTGGCACTAGGTATAAACAACTTAAGCGGCACAATAGAAGGATGGATTGGAAACCTAAAAGGCCTTGAAGGATTAACTCTCCGCTCAAACCGCTTCACCGGCCAAATCCCACCCTCTATTAGCAATCTTACTCGGTTGATAAATCTTTATCTCTATGATAATCAATTCGAGGGCCTCATACCCCCCAGCCTGGGAAACCTCCCACTCACACAGCTAGTCCTTAGCTCTAACAATCTTTACGGGTACATACCACCCAGCTTAGGAAGCCTCCAACAGCTTACGTCATTGAATCTTAGCCACAATAATCTCCAAGGTGAGATACCTCAGATTAGCGCCCTTAAGCAACTCACTACTTTAGATCTTTCTTCAAATAAGCTCACAGGGAGTATTCCAGATTCTTTGGGCCAATGTTACGGCTTACGGAGTCTGCAAATGGACCAAAACTTTCTGTCAGGAAACATCCCAATAGCCTTTGGCAAACTGTTGTCTCTGAGTATACTAAATCTATCACACAACAACTTGTCAGGCACCATCCCGTCGGCTCTAAACAAACTAGAGTTCCTAAACCATCTTGACCTTTCATATAATCATCTTGAAGGAAAAATACCCAGAGATGGAGCATTCGAAAATGCTACGGCTGTTTCACTTGAGAACAATTGGGGGCTCTGCGGAGGCGCCGTGGATCTTCACATGGCTTCATGCACAACCATTTCCAAGAAAGAAGAGGAGAGACGATACCGTTTGATTAAAGTATTGATTCCAATATTTGGATTCTTGTCACTGGTACTGTTGATCTACTTTGTACTCCTTGAGAAGAAGATGCGAAGGGCAAATGATACATCAGCTTCATTAGGCGAGAATTTTCTGAAGGTTTCTTATGCGGATCTAGCACAAGCCACATCAAACTTCTCTGAATCTAACCTGGTTGGGAGAGGAGGTTATGGCTCTGTCTATCGCGGAAAGTTAAAGGATTCTAAGGTGGAAGTGGCCGTCAAGGTTTTTGATCTTGAAATGCATGGAGCTGAGAGAAGCTTTCTGAAAGAATGCGAGGCACTGCGAAGCATTCAGCATAGAAATCTTCTTCCCATCATAACTGCTTGCTCGACGGTAGACAATACAGGCAATGTTTTCAAAGCTTTAGTTTATGAGTTCATGCCTAATGGGAACCTAGACACATGGCTGCATCACAGAGAGGACGGGAAGGCTCATAAACATTTAAGCTTAGCTCAAAGATTAGACATAGCTGTTAACATGGCTGACGCACTGGATTATCTACACCATGACTGCGGAAGACCCACCATCCATTGTGACCTGAAGCCCAGCAACATTCTTCTGGATGATGATATGACCGCTCTTTTAGGAGACTTTGGTATTGCAAGTTTTTACCAAGATTCCAGGTCAACATCACCTGGTTCAGTGAGTTCATCATCAGTCGGTATGAAGGGTACTATTGGATATATTGGTCCAGGTATGTTTATGTTGGTTTCTTGTCATACCTTCAGTACATCTCAGGCAATCCAATACTTCAATACATAACTGTATCTTATACATGTATCTCTCTTTAGAGTACGCGGGAGGTGGCCGCCATGCATCAACTTGCGGAGATGTTTACGGTTTTGGGATAATACTGCTGGAAATGATGACCGGAAAAAGACCAACAGATCCATTGTTCAAGGATGGAGTTAGCATTGTCGACTTTGTGGAGAGCAACTTTCCACATGAAATAGTTCGTGTCATTGATGCTAATCTCAGTGAAGAATGCAAGGACATTGCTCAATCAAAGAAGATTTCAGAAAATTCAGTTCATCAATGTTTGCTATCTGTGCTGCAACTAGCACTTTCCTGTACGCACCCAGTACCAGGCGAAAGAATGAATATGAAAGTGGTGGCCAGCAAAATGCATGCAATTAAAACATCCTATGGGGGCTGCAATGCGCAAGAGTGAAGAGTGTCCTTCACTAGAATTAGAGTGACTGCGAACGTGCTATGTAAGTGTAACATTGTAACCAGCATAATGAATCTGTAGTGTACACTTACATGTGTGTACGTATATATATTTAATATATTTTGTGTACTCCTCGGAGTATATGTACGCCTATATTTAATACCAGAACGGTCAAGCCATGGACAGACGCTGGGGCAATCAGAGGAATACCAGAACGGTCAAGCCATGGACAGACCAGAGATGAAAGGACGAGATGATTTCTTGGAAGGAGAGGACCAGGAGGAAGAGAAAGAGATGGAACTTGCTAAGGTCAATCTGGAGGAGGCCGGTGTGTTCCAGGACCAAGTGTTCGACAATAAGAACGTGCAGAAGCATGTTGAGGAGGTGGACGATGAGGACCTCATGGAAGGTATGGAGGCAACCGACCCAGGGGCCGCCGGTCAACTGACGGGGCCAAGTGTGGCGCCCCGTCAGGAGCAATGAATTCCATAGTGTGGAACTGCCGTGGTGCGGGGAACGCCTCGACAGTTCGCGACATCGTGGCTCTGACTCGAGCCCATTCCCCAAGTATGGTTTTCTTATGTGAAACTAGACAGCAAAAGGATAAGATGTATCGTCTTCGTAACAGAATTGGTCTACGTGGCTTTGAAGGAGTTAGTAGTGAGGGTAATAGTGGAGGTCTAGCCTTGTTTTGGGATGAGTCCTTGTACGTTGATATGTTCGGTTGCCTGCTGATGATCAAGTGTGCAGAATTACCTTTACATATGGGGAGCCGAGAACAGAGAATAGACATTTGATGTGGGAGGGGATGAAAAGATTAAAGGCTCATGATGATTTACCATGGCTGGTGGTAGGTGACTTCAATGAAGTATTGTGGGATTATGAACATCTGTCGGAAACACCTAGATCACATGGGCAGATGATTGCCTTCCGAGATGTACTAGAAGCTTGTGATTTATCTGATTTGGGCTTTTCCGGGTACCCTTTCACTTATGACAATAAGCGTAGCGGCAGAGCAAATGTTCAGGTAAGGCTTGATAGGGCGACCGCTGATCACAAGTGGAGATTCAAGTTCCCGGAGGCGTCGGTCAAGCACTTGGTATCCTCCTGCTCAGACCATCTCCCACTCTTGGTGCGTTGTGTGCCGGAGTCCGGAGGGAGGACTAGGTACGTGCGGCAGTATGAGGTGATGTGGGAAAGAGAGGCTGCCTTGGATGAGGTGATTGCACAAGCTTGGCATGAGGGTGGTACTAAGCATGGGTTGCAGGATATTAAGTTAGCACTGGACAAAGTGATGGAAAAGTTGCATAAGTGGAGTCATAAGAAGTTTGGAAATCTGAGTAAAGAGATTGAAAAATCAAGGTCCAGGCTTGAGGAGCTTATGCATATGAATGCAGACCGCAGTGAGATACACAAGGAGTCTGATCATCTAGAGGAATTGTTGTACAGAGAGGAAATGTTATGGAGACAGAGATCTCGCATTGATTGACTTAAAGAGGGAGACCGCAATACCCAATTTTTTCATAGGCGAGCTGTGTGGAGAGTTAGAAAAAACAATATAAAAAGGCTTGTGGATAGCTCCGGGGTGGTGCATACAGATCAGAATTTATGGAAGGTATGGCCCTGGACTATTTTCAAAACCTCTTTACAGCTGATGCCTCTCTAAATGCAGATAATGCGGTGCCCTTGTTTGCTCGAGCTATCACTGATGAGATGAATGAACGACTTTGCTCTACCTTCACTGATAAGGAGATAGGTGATGCTATGTTTCAGATTGGGCCTCTAAAGGCACCGGGTCCGGACGGTTTTCCAGCTTGATTTTTTCAGAAACACTGGGCTATTATGAAGGAGGATGTTATCTCAGCTGTGCGGTTATTCTTTGAGTCGGGACACATGCCAGAGGGGGTGAATATGACAACCATAGTGCTGATTCCAAAGATTGATGAACCAAGTAAGTTGTCAGATTTCCGTCCCATAAGTCTATGCAACGTGATTTATAAGGTGATTGCAAAGTGTCTGGTCAACAGGTTGAGGCCCCTGCTTGGTGAGCTAATTTCACCAGAGCAGAGTGCCTTTGTCCCAGGTAGACTCATTACAGATAATGCGTTCATTGCTTTCGAGTGTACTCATTTTATTCGGCATGAGAAAAACCCGGACAAAATTTTTTGTGCCTATAAGCTGGACTTGTCCAAGGCGTATGACCGGGTGGATTGGATTTTCCTGGAGCGAGTGATGCAACAGTTGGGTTTCGATCATCGATGGGTGAAATGGATAATGTCATGTGTCACCTCGGTGAGATACACTGTCAAAATTAATGGAGCCTACTCGGATTCATTTGCACCGTCGCGAGGGCTACGGCAGGGAGATCCTTTATCACCATTCTTATTTTTGTTTATTGTGGACGGCCTAGCAGCACTGCTTAAGGAGAAGGAGAGGGAGTCTCATATTACGCCTCTGAAAGTGTGCCCGCGGGCACCAGGGATTTCCCATCTCCTTTTTGCGGACAATACTCTCCTATTTTTTCGTGCTACAGAACGAGAAGCATTGCAGGTTAAAGGTGTTCTGGATATGTTTGCTAGTGCAACATGGCAACTTATTAATCTACAGAAGTGCTCAATTTTGTCTGGGGAACACTGCCGACAGGGAGATAAAGAAGATGTGATCCGTGTCCTTGATGTTCAGAATGTTAGCTTTGAGGAGAAATATTTAGCCCTCCCCACACCTATGGGGCGCATGTCCAAGGGACGGTTCGAGAACATCCAACAGAAGTTTACTAAGAGATTTGTTACATGGTGCGAGTCAATGGCGCAGAGTGGAAAAGAAGTTCTTATCAAATCCATTGCTCAAGCCCTGCCAACTTATTTGATGAGTGTATTCAGGCTTCCAGAATCAACATGCGATGACCTCACATGGATGGTTCGGAATTTTTGGTGGGGAGCGGAAAAGGGAAGACGGAAAACGCACTGGCGAGCATGGGAGAAACTGATTCAACCCAAGTCACACGGTGGAATGGGATTCAGGGAGTTCTGGCTGTTCAATCAAGCTTTGCTAGCACGTCAGGCATGGCGTATTCTGAATTTCCCGGACAGTCTATGCTCTCAAGTATTGAAGGCCAAGTACTTTCCATCAGGTAATCTTGAGGACACGGTGTTCCCTAGTAGTACTTCACAAACGTGGCAATCGATAGTGCATGGACTGGAACTTATAAAACGTGGTATCATCTGGAGAGTTGGCAACGGACAGTCCATACGTATATGGAGAGATCGATGGATACCAATTTATGGTAAACCAATCACGAAACAGGGACGTTGCAGGTTGAGGCGAGTTTCTGAGCTTCTGGATGAGAGAGGTGATTGGCGCCTTGACCTCCTCCATCAATATTTTTTACCTGCAGATATTAATCAGATAATCAAAATTCGCACTTCGCCTCGGCTTGGTGCGGATGTCCTGGCATGGGAACCAGAACGGAATGGTATTTTCTCTGTCCGGAGCGCGTATCGGCTGGCTCTCGATGATCGTCTTCGTCAATCTTCAATCGCGGCGAGCAGGGCACCGGATGGGCGACGAGCCATCTGGGCTTTATTATGGAGGTGCCCTGCTTCTCCGAAGGTGCGTGTGTTTACGTGGCGTGTGGCTACTGATTGTTTACCCACTTGGACTAATAAGCACTATTGTAAACTTGAAGTCTCTAATCTGTGCCCATTGTGTGCTATCGAACCGGAGGACACATTGCATGCTCTATGTAGATGCCCACCAGCAGTCGAGCTGTGGCGAGAAATGGCAAAACAATGGGACATTCCAGACGTCCGGAGGCTAGTGAACACAGGGACGGATTGGCTCCTCCAGGTGTTGGCGGAGCTGTCAGAGGAAGGGCGCTTGTGTACGCTGATGACACTATGGAGATGCTGGCATGTGCGCAATGAGATCGTCCACAACAAACGTCCGCCACCCATCAAGGTGTCGACCCGGTTTCTCTCTAGTTACATTACCTCCCTGCTAGTCGTACAAGCCAGCCCTCATGCTGATCATGTCAAAGGTAAAATGGGAGCCGATCAACTAAGCAAGAACAGCCCGTTATTACATGTGCGCTGGGAGCGGAAGAAGCTTGCCTGGGAGCCTCCGCCGATGGGCTGGGTGGCGTTGAGCATTGATGGTTCTTTTTCGGAAGTGGACAACACAGCAGGAGCTGGCATGGTGCTTAGCAGCGGCGAATCTAGAAAGAAAATGAAGGGTGGGCTCAAAGTTTACGCCAAGAAAACTAAACGCTACTCTGAAGAAAAAAGATGATTATCTCCAAATCCATCTGTCCAAGTAAGCTCAAACGTTCCCAGATTACTACTAGGAACACGTACTATTTAACTGAATTTTTCAGGTTTTTTGAAAAATATGAATTTTTGAACAAAAACTTGAATCTGTTTAGCAAAAATAGCCATTATCTCATAATCCGGTCGTCAAAATAAGCTCAAACTTTCCCAGATTACTACTTGGAACATGTACTATTTAACTGAATTTTTTTCAGATTTTTTGAAAAATATCAATGTTTCAAGAAAAACTTGAATCTGTTTAGCAAAAATAGCCCTTATCTCATAATCCAGTCATCCAAATATGCTCACACTTTCCCAGATCCATAGATCAAGTGCAGCTCACACCCATAAACTAGTAGCATGATTGATAAAGTTTCATACAGTTCACACACCCATAGATCAAGTACTAGAGAAGCAACAAAAAAAAGACAAAAACAATGATATTGGTGTTGCGTGTTGCTTCTTAGCTGATACTAGTAGTTGCAGAACACCTCCACACCAAAATCGAAGAGACAAACTACAAGCCATCTGTCCAAATGAGCAGAACTATTAGTGATATAGTAAGGCATCCTCAAGTGACTATCAGCACTAGTAGAAAAACAGAGGCATACCTCTAAGAAATCACATTATACTCAGGAGGCAAATGTACTTTTCGATCTTTCTGGAATCGTATCATAATTTGATCATCGGGAATACTTCTGAATATCCTTTTCTCACAATAGCAAACCATTAAATCATTAAGCCAATCATCTGATAACTTATTGCGCAAATCAGTTTTGATGATCTTCATTGCTGAAAATATCCTCTCGACCGATGAAGTTGCCACTGGAAGAATCAATGTCAACTCGATGAGGCGATATACCAATTGGAAAGTTCTATATTTTGTTGTTTGAACCATCAACCAAGCAGGGGTAGAAACATCCGAACATGCATTAAATTCCTCACTTCTCCTAATATTTGTAAGGAATGTTGGAAGCTCATATCTTAGCAACAACCGTTCAGCTTGCGTAAAATCCTCAGCATAAATTTCAGCAAGCCGAATAAGCTTGTCAATGTTAAACTTTGAGAAGTTGTTTGCCGGATTAAGACAAGACATGCAATCCACTAACTCGGTGTTAGCTTCATTAAATTGATGATTCATCTTAGTGAGAGTTGCATCAATAGCAACATTGAATATGC